GATGATCCTTAGGAATGAATGAATGAGAAATAGTTGATTCATAGGGTAGACCCTTAAGAATAAAGAAGATAATGGGGTTGGGTAATTGGGTTGATTGTTTGATTATTTAAACATAATAATTATATTATTGTGGGTTGAAAACCCTATGTACTCATCAGGTTCCCAACCTGACCCACTCAGTTTATTTATATCACAGGTGTTGATATGAAATCACATTACACTGAGAGATTAAAGAGATGTAGATCACTAGTGTAAATAAATGTAAGTTCTGTTTATGCTTATGTTCCTGTATTGACAATGACATCCCAAACGTTTTAAAATGAATAAAATACGTTTCTTCGAAAATATTTTAATAACGTATTTATCGTGTTTTTCTGGGAATGAATTCCGCAACATTTTTATTAAAAGAAAAACTCTGATTTTTATAAAGCATAAACAAAATCGGTCTTTTGTGGCCGTGAAAATGGAGATGTCACAGTTGGTATCAGAGCATTAGTTTAAGCGAACTAGGAATATGGATTTATTTCTAGACTTAAACTTAGAATGCTAAGCGATGATTGTGAGGTGTGAGCACTAGATTATTTTAGGAATTGTTCCTAAAATGCTTTTATGTGCTAAATACTTGTGCCTGATATGCTGTTATTTGTTCGAATCTATGGTCTGTTGCCGACCGGATCTGGAAACCTTATGTGTTTAGGATTCTAAGCGTTTAACTACGATATTAGAACTAGCATATAAACGTTTCGGAGTGATAAGGATGATGTAACCGTCAATCCTAAGTAAAGGTCTAGATTCACCTTATTCGGTGTATAGATCAAGATGGCAAGAACCCGTAGCGGAAACGTGAATGCAAATGGGAACCGAAACCAGCCACCAGTGATTGAGCAAATACCAGTTGTGGTAGCCGCTGCTGAGCCAATAACGATGGCCGGAGTGCAAGCAATGATCCAGGTGATGTTGGATCGTCAAATGGAGGAAACCAGACGTTTGCTCCAGCAAAATCGAGAGGAAGCGACTATTCAGATCGAATGGCCCTAGTTGAATGAAGGGCAGACTAAGGAGGAGAACTACAGTGGGACTGTTGGTCAAGTCAACCCACCAATAGTTCGACAAAACAACACGATGAAGAAGTCGAGAGGAATGGATGCAAGTACAAGGAATTTCTGACTTGGAAGCCATCGACTTTCACTGGAAAGGAGGATCCGATTGGAGTCATGGATTGGATCTCGGAGATGGAATTAGCTTTCATGACGTGCGGTTGCAAGGGAAAACAACAGACCACATTTGCAGTGCGTCAGTTTCAAGGAGGCGTTTTACGTTGGTGGAATACCTTGGGGAAGACTCTGAGCCCCAATGAGCCCCTGCAACTAACATGGGCAGAATTTTTGGTGCAATTCAAATGTAGGTACTGCACAGCCCAAAATCTGCTCGAGCTAGAAAACCAATTCCTTACCTTGAAGAAAGGAAGCATGTCTGTTGGTGAATACACCAATAACTTCACAGAGAAGATGGAGTTCGCCTTACGTCTTGTTCCGGATGAGCTGACGAAATTTAACAAGTATGCAAAAGGACTTCCATGGGAGTACGCGGTGCCAGTGCTTCAGGCACCTACCTTGGAGGCAGCTATCTGGGCTGCCAAGTCGGTTGAGGAGATGATCAAGGGAAGAGCCGCCAACAAGACCGAGGTTGGCGAAAAGAGAAAGTCTGAGGGCTCTGCGAAGCCCGATGAGAAAAGCAAGTCCAGTACAAGGAAGTTTAGAGGAGGAGGGAGTTAAGAAAGATGGTGCGAGAAGTGCAAAAAGAAACACTCTGGAAAATGCGGTGAGGAGGTGACATGTTTCAAGTGTGGGAAGCATGGGCATTATGCCAACGAGTGTAAATTCAACAAAAGGGTGTGTTACGAATGTAACGAGGAAGGGCACTTCAAGCAAGATTTCCCAAAGAGAGAAGGAGCTACAAAGCCAAATGTGCCGCCAAAACCAAAGGCAAGAGCATTTCAAATGATCCTTGACGAAGCAGCTGACGATGCAAGGAATCAGGAGTAAGGATGGATAAATAGAGATCGAGTTATGAAGAATCCATATAGATAGTGTCTCATGATGTAGCCTATTAGAGGCATAATCTAGGGTGAACTTGAACACCCATGTAATCATTTCAAGTAATAAAATAAAACCTTTGTTTTGTTATCTGATGTGTTGAATGATTGTGTGATTTCCTACATGGTGACTTGGGAAACTACGGGAAAATACTTAGGACGAGTATGAGTAGGTGTAGATGGTAGTAGAGGCCTATACTACCGGAAGCATAGGACTCACACTTGGATCATGGAAAGTCACAAGGTTACCAAGAAACCAGTAATTGATTTCGTTTTATTCAAGTATGTCGTTACCATTGTTTCGGTAATGACTAAGAAGATTGTTGTTATCCCGACCCTAGTGGTCATATCACATTGAGTCCGACTACGATGAGTAGGTTACGTGGTTCAGAGAACCAATTTTGATATAGCGTCCGACTTAAACCAAACGATTAAAATCAAAGCGATCAATAGAAGTATCGCGCTCGTTGGTAGCTAGAAATGCTACATGTTAAAGTATGATTATATCACATTAGAACATGAAGGAAGGCTTAGTCTGTTTTAGAATTTAAGAGTCTAAACTCCTCCTACTGTTAAATTTGAGATCGGTCGAGAATTAGCCAACGGAGTCTAAACAAAAGTTGTAGATCTTGATTTTACCTACGCGTGTATATAAAGAACGTCGAAAACAGAGCTCGTATGCGAAAGTTATGATTTTTCTAAGTTTGAAGGCTCATACGCGATAGGGGGTGATGTGGCACCACCAGAGTTGGACACGTGGCACCACCAGAAGGTTGCCACATGCACCAACTCGGTGAGTCCATTAGGTTTTTCCACTATAAATAGAGGTGCCGGGTTCCATTCATTCTCACACCTTCAAACCCTTCTTTCTCTCTCTAAACTCTCTCTCTAAGCCTCCCTAACCCCCCAAAGCCTAGGGTAACTCCCTAGCATGAGGCGGAAGCCCCGGAGTTCCCGAAGGCTCCGAGAAAAGAGCCTTTCGGCTCAGGAAACGCTGCTCCAGCGAAGCCCGGTTTTGCGAAAAACCCGCTGTAACTGAGTTACGCCTACGCTAGTTTTAATATAGCTTCTAATTAATTATAGTAACATTATTAGGACCTTAAAATAATTGTGTGGGCTATTATTATGAGTTATATTGAGTGTTATTTAATGTTTATATAATAATAATAATAGCTATACTATTAATTAGTCGTGGTTATCGTTAGACTAAACCTTAGTGGTGTTGATACTAGGTTTTATCGAAGGAAATTGTTTTGAGAGTATCGAAGCGTTGTCCGAGTATTGAGTCACCACCTATCAGGTGAGTGCATAGTTACTTTCAGCGTACACATAGATATGAAGTATTTTATATAAATTACGTGCTATGTGTGCATATTGTCTGAATACTTGCTATGTATGCTGATGAAAGATTTTTATACATGTTTTAAATGATGTAAATTGTATAAAGTATTTTATATCTACAAAATATGTTGGGTAAAACATGGGTAGATGAATAATGAGCAATAAAAGTTGATATAGAGGAACATTAGTAGCATGGCCCTAGTGCCCTATGGGTATACATTGGCAGCAGTGGACCTAGTACCCTATAGATGAGCACTGGCAGCTGCGCCACAACCCGTAGATGTTTCAGATCTACGGTAAACGTCCTAGCAACTGCGCTCTAAGGACAGTATAGGCAGCTGCGCCTAATAGGGAGCCTTATGATCATGACAGTAGCGTTTAAAGGTCAATAGCGGCAGAAGCGTGTCATAGAAAATGTCCCAATTCTGGCAGTTGCGCCTAAGCGACAAGATTAGCAGCTGCGCTTGACCAATGTGTCATTGGCAACAATGGACTTCATGTTGTTTCCTTAGGATGATCCTTAGGAATGAATGAATGAGAAATAGCTGATTCTTAGGGTAGACCCTTAAGAATAAAGAAGATAATGGGATGGGTAATTGGGTTGATTGTTTGATTATTTAAACATAATAATTATATTATTGTGGGTTGAAAACCCTATGTACTCACCAGGTTTCCCAACCTGACCCACTCAGTTTATTTATATCACATGTGTTGATATGAAGTCACATTACACTGAGAGATTAAAGAGATGTAGATCACTAGTGTAAATAAATGTAAGTTCGGTTTATGCTTATGTTCCTGTATTGACAATGACATCCCAAACGTTTTAAAATGAATAAAATACGTTTCTTCGAAAATATTTTAATAACATATTTATCGTGTTTTTTCTGGGAACGAATTCCGCAACATTTTTACTAAAAGAAGAACTCTGATTTTTGTAAAGCATAAACAAAATCGGTCTTTTGTGGCCGTGAAAATGGGGATGTCACACTCACGTTGTGAGCCCTTCACGCTCACGTCGTGAGGTCATGGTTTCAGTCCAGGAACTTCCTCAAATACGTACTCACATCATGAGGCTTCATTCCTCACGTCGTGAGTCCAGATCTGACCAAAAATGAGCATTAAGCTCTTAATCCATTAAGCCTTAACATGGAACAGTTTATAGGGTCTTCGTTGACCCCAAGGACCATAAAAATCGAAGCTTTTTATTTATATATGTCCAATACATGACTTAAACACCAACTTGGATCAAAGTAGAGTAAAAAGTTCCAAGACTCAAACTTGGTGTCTAAAACCATGACCAAAATCCAGATCTGAGACTTATAAGGCTTAAGATACCACCATGATCCATAAAGTTGCCAACTTTATGGACTCCATGCATGCTAACCAACATTACAAGCTATAAAATGCATGGAAACTTAGATCTAGCAAGCAAGGAAAGGAAGGGCATGAACTTGAAGACTTACAAAGGTCCAAAAGCTCCACAACTAGCTGATGATGAAGCCAAGAAGCTAACCAATACACCACCAATGATCTTTTTCTTATTAATGAGCTTCAAAGCCTCCTAAATCTCTTGAATAACACCAAAATGACTAAGAACTTCAATGGGGGCTGAGATTAGGGTATCCAGAGGTATTGGGAGTGAAAGACGCCGAGGAGGAGCAACCCTAATCATCTCATACCTTTAAATACCCAAAAATTAGGATTTTAGTGCATCAGATGCTCCTCACGTCGTGAGCCCTTCATGTTCATGCCGTGAGCCTTAAATGAACGTGGTCAACAAGTCAACGATCACTCACACGAACTACTCCAACTTCAAACGGACATAACTTCTTCGTTTCAACTCCGTTTTTGACGTTCTTTATATCCACGGAAAGGCGGCGAGCAGATCTACACATCTATCAACTCATCCTCACCTCAAAACCCTCCAAACTAAAATCCAAAATTCATAAAGAGCTCAAACTACCACTTTACCGATATACCCCTTGGCTCCAAGACACAACCCAACTCCCGAATCACCTCAGTTCATCGTCTGTACCTAAACGGGTCTAGATCTCTCTCTTCCAAATTCCCTAAGCCTTATGATAACCCATCTTCAGGCCACGGTCCCGAATTAGGAAAGTAATTCAAAACAGGGCGTTATAGGAGTTTTATAGAAACATTTAGTTAGTTTATAATTATCATTATACTTTTAATGAGAATTAATGTCCTATCCTACCCGTTCGGCTAACAACTCTCCACTAGTCAAGAGTACGATGGGTAAGAGTAGATACCCAATGGCGGTCATTTTATAGGCCGCTTCCTTAAACACCCCTTATAGATCAGCTTTGTGAATGAGTTCTACTAACGGTAAGACTGACTTGTCTTATACACACACACACACACACACACACATATATATATATATATATATATATATATATATATATATATATAAGTATTAACTTTTAATATTATAATAGTATAATGGTTGAATTTTAAACTTTTAAAACTCTAAGGTTTGGAATTGAATGTTTCATAAGTGAGACGTTACAAATTCCAAAACTTAAGGGTAAGTTTTGTAATTCTTCAAAGCTCTTGGTTTCCATAACTTATGAGTTTAATGTTTAATGAATGAGACTTTTCATGTTCCATAACTTGAGGACAAGTTATGCAACTTTTCAAAAAAAACAGATTTTATGATACAAAACAATTAGCTTATCGTATAAACTAACACTAATCTTGAAATTATGACAATTATCTTTTAATTGGATGTGGGCAATCACTACCATATCAAAAAAACAGATTTTATGATACAAAACAGTTTGTGGTAATGATTCTAATCCAATTTAGGCCAAAAAAACCCGAAAATCTACCACCAGACATGGCAACTTGTCGAGTCAGCTAATGGACTCGTCGAGTTCCTCCTTGGACTCGTCGAGTTTAGTCTGGAAGAAGCAATTTTTCATTTTGCTTCAACTTTGAACAATCAACCATGCATCTAACAGAAAACTACCCTAGGCTCTGATCCCACTGATGGGTTTTGAGCACTATAACATCCCTCTGGTGCACATTCAACCCTAATGTTTTGGATCTAACTTTTCTCTAGTTATACATGCAAATTTCATTTTTCCAAAGCATGAAGCCTATCTAGCATACAACTTGATATATGAATCATAAAAACTAGTTAGATGATTACCTCTTTATGTAGCTTGTATTACTTGGCCTTTAATAGCTTAGCACCTCAAATGTGATGCCTCAAATGCTTCACAAAACACAACCAACAATTGGAGGACTTGAGAGAGAGGTTAGGAGCACCCTAAAATCGACTATACTCTTGCTATATTACTTGTGCATCCGATTTTGTGGTCTAAGGGGTTACATATATAGTGTTAGAATTCCAAGAGTCATATGTAACCTCATTCTTACACTTAGACTTATGATCCATAACTCATCTGGACTAACTCTTCATGGACTCTCACATAAACTTAGCCCATCATGGATCGATAGCAGAAACCATATGTATCACTAATTTACATAATCAATCCCCGTTAATTTAATTAGTCTCTTTTGATCATTAAATTAATTCCAAATTAATTCTTGATCAATACTAATTAAATAATATGATTTCTCAATTAATATATTATAGTTATAATATATTAGTAAATCATAAATAACATCTTTCTCAAATATCCATCCTATCATATTATTCTGGTGAATGCAACCCAAATGGACTATGCTACTATCGGATCAAGTACATACCAATTATAGTTATGGGCACAGACACCTAATTTAACACCTTAGTCCTAATCTAGCATGTTATTCATATACTCACATACTGAATCAAATAAACATGTATGGGTATTTTAGGAATACTTACTTGAGCTCGGCCGAGTGCACGCATCACACCCCTTCTTTTATAAAAACTTTTGGAAAAATATTTTTCTTTTTACCCATTCCTCAGGTTGAGTCCAGACACACTCGAGAGTGTGTTCGAATCCCTCAAACCAAGGCTTTGATACCAACATATAACAGCCTAAAAAATACTAAGTAAAATTTTTTATTTTTAATTCAACCAAAATCATCAATCATTCATTTCAAACCATCAAAGTATAACAATGTATAATTAGTTATCCGAGTACAATTCCAAAATCATAAAATATGGAATGTGGGTGGATGTTGTGCGATCATGTCGGGCCCTTCCCCTTCAAACCTGAAGTACCTGAAAACATTTCAAACATAAACCGTAAGCACAAAGCTTAGTAAGTTCCCCAAAATACAACATAGCGTAGAAGCAAGGGTCCCCGCCCAATGAGTATAACGGGTCTCATCCTAACTCGCATACTGGTCCCCGCCCAACATACAAAACATGCAAGTATCACATAGACAACTGGCATCCTACAAACATAATCCAATGGGTCAGCATTGGTGCCTTCGCCCCACGAGTACAGTGAAGAGACTTACCTTGAAACGCAACTCTAAATCAACAAGCTCACAAAATCCCAAAACGGTGCTAAACGCCACCTAGATATACACACAAGGAAGACCCTTAATCTACATTTCTAAAACTATACATTTGACCAAAGTCACTAAGTCAAAAGTCAAGCCTTAAGGTCAACGGTCAAAGGTCAAAGTCAACAGCCAAACATTTAGCTTCAACGACTCGCCACATCATGGCCATTCTTGGCCACATCGTGGCATCATACCAGGACAAAATAATCGATCAAACCCCAGTTGCCACGACGTGGCGACCTGATGCCACGTTGTGGGCACTAGGTTCAAAACAGCTTAATGGGTTAAGTTGTTTTCTTCAACCCCAAGAGTTCCAAAGCTCAGATCTAGTCTGAAATATGGTCTAGAAGGATAAAATTTCCATCTTTATCCATTAAGACCACCCAAAAGGACAAAATCCCAAACCCTAGGTTCCATAAGGCTTAAAATGGAAAAGACTCAACCATTGAGCATTTAATCCAGAAGGTCCTTAGTCCAACTTCTCCAAAATGCTTTTAGGACCCCTAATGGTCCTTAAAAATCCAAACTTTATATACATGCATAACCCATGCATGACCTTCTTCAAACTAGGTCAAAAGGGGAAAATATGACCCGAAATCTATGTATGGTTCCCATCTTACCACAAAACCCAGATCTATAAGATATGATATTCAAGGCACATAGAGAAACCATAAAGTTGCAACCTTTAGATCTTCTAACTATACAAACCACTCTAAAAGGACCAAAACATGCTCTAAAACCTAGATCTATGATGAAGAACACAAGAAGGTTGAAGTTTGAGGACTTACAACGAGTCCGGAAGATGCACACAAATAAAGGAAATGATTGCTTGCTGAATCAAGATGCTAGCTCTTCTTCTTCTCCCTTAAGATCTAGGTGTTACAAAAGGGTAAAATCTATCTTTTTAGGCTTTCCCTCTCAATCCGCCCAAATTAGGCAGATACAAATTGCTTTCAATTCTTTATTTCCTTTCCTTCCTAATCCTTGCATTTCCTTTCCTCCTTTTTAAAAAAAAAAATCAAGAAAATGTCTTCCCTTCTTAATCCCCTCTCTTCCCCTCCTAAAAAAATTAAACAACACGGTGTAAGAGAAGTATTGATTAACTCTGATGATGGGAAGAGTGGTGGAGACGGAGATCAATGACGGCTTTTAGGAAGGTGGGGAAATCAAAGATACCGAAAGATAAAGAAGGGTGTGGTTGAGTTTATTTAATGATTTAATTTATATAATAATTAAACTTAAATTATAAAATATATCAAATAATATTATTAAAGATAAAATAATCGTTTTAAGTCGACTAAAAACCAAATATCAAACACAAATAAAATGTAGAGATAGTCCAAGTATTTTTTTTAAATAAAAAATTATAAAAAAAATTATAAAAAAAAAAAAAAAAAAAAAAAAAAAAAAAAAACCAAACAACTAAGGATGCAGATTACCACAAACCACATGTAATTTACCCTAACAATATAACATGTCTTTAAACGATGATTATAAAAGTATATTCTTTAAAATAGAAATTTTTAGAAACGGCAAATAAATTGACAAAAACCCCATATTCAAATTTCTTTACAAGGCAAACTCAGCCCCAAGAAGATTTTCAAGCAAAACTTTCCACACATGAGGAAAAATTACATAAAACAAATTTAACAGGTTTGAAGATTTGAACTCCTAACCTAAAACTCATGTGAGTACCAAACCCGGTGTACAAATCTAGAAATTGACTAAGAGTATGAGTTATTGTTAAGAAAGTGATATTATTTTAACATAGTTTATAAAAACATACCAATATCTATTTATTTTTACTAAAAAATCTAGAGATTACCTAATATTTTGTCAAATTAAGAGAGAAGTCCTTACGTTTTTTCTAACAGAAAATATCAGATTATCGGATGAAACCCGGTACTTTTCAGTTCAAAAAATAAAAGTTAAACTTTTCCATAAAAAATGCCAAAATAATAGTACCTAGAGATAACCCTAGAAAATATTGTTTTTTCATGCACTATAAAATCCAAAAATAAAACATCATACCAAATCATCATTTTCTTGCATCATTACATCAATAACATTATGTGGGTACAAAATCCAAAAAAATAAAAGGACTTCCTCTTTAAAACCGGTTTTTATACTACAACACAACCCAATACCATAAACAACAATAAACAAGAAAATCCAAAAAGGGTCCCCCCTCCATTTCTATCCACAAAACCATCCCCAATTCCCAATTCCCAATTCCAAACTCCAAATCCGAGTGAAAGTCAAACCCAAAAGTCAACCATATCAGCTACTGACTCCAACAGAAGAAGCAAACCTCGATTCATTTCCATTTGAGGCTGCAACAGTTTCCATTCGCATCCATGTTGACTCACGTTTGTGATTGTTTTCCTTCTGTTTGACTTCATCTTCTTGATATCTATTCAGACATTCATCAAACAGTGTTTGATCAACGTCTGAAAAGATTTTCCTTACATTCAGAGTTAAGCTCTGAACAGCTTGATTCCAGTGACCCCTTGGCCTTGTGTTTTTCTCCAAAGCAGGGAAGATTATTGGCAGGATGACTTTTCGGTTTTGAGTTATCAGATTTCTTATGTGATCATTGTTCCATAAAAACAACGCCCTTTCAGCCACCTGTAACAAATACCAATGTCTTTTCTTTATAATGATATATAATAGGAAGAAATGAAAGTTATATACAATTATACATACCTGGAAATGTGAACTATTAAGACACCTCCCAATTTGCCTAAACAAAGGCACCATACATTTTTGAAACTCTGCAGCTTGTGTAGACTCCAAAACTTCCTCCAATTCACTTAAAAACATAACCTCTTTTGAGCTATTAGTCACAGGCCAATATTTCACAAGTCCTCTAATCACAATATCTGCCAATTTAAAATCTTTTTCCACAAATTGTGTAACACAATACGATAATTGCTGATGATACATCGATAAACATTTAGGTTTATGAAGTGGGATCAAAGCCCTCATTAGAAAAAGCTTGTGTTCTTCTTTCAAAGGTAAAGCAAACCCGTTGATTATACTCCCCAATATCTCGAGCATTTCTGCGATTCCGTTATGCTTTTCGGTTTCAAATATAAATTGAAAAAAGATATTGTTTATTGCTTTTCTGATAAACGGGCGATGAACCATGAACTTTCCATAGATCCGGTGTAGGATTGTCTTCAAATACTCTCTTTCTCTTTGATCTTCTGAATCGAAAAGATCGAGTAGTTTTAAAACGAATGAATGATCGATGTATCGTTTGGCGATTTTGGCGTCTGTTTCTGTTGAAGCGATGAATCTGAGGAGGAATTCATATACGATTTGGAGATGAGGCCATGAAGGTTCCATGTTTGGTTCATCGTCTTCTGGATCGTATATATCTGGGAGTTTGGAATCGTGATTTGTGGGTAGTGAGCGGAAGAGATTTGTGGATATCATTTTTGTGATTTCTTGCATTGTGGGTTCATTGAACTTTGAAGGAACTGAAGATACGTAGTCAACAAGTTCGAGTAAAGTCTGTCGTTTGATGTCCTTCTCTTTCAGATTCTTTGATGGGTCGGTGAAATCAAACACTACACAACACATGTTCAACTTTTTTATGAACAGATTGTGTTTTTCTGAAGTGGGTACGTCGCGAAAACTTGGTAATGATTCGTAAGCAGCTTGATTAGGTTTCTTCACCTGGTTTGATTTCATGTTTGGAGTATGAGTTCCATTCATAGACCTTGAAGAACTTGAATTCGAACCTTTACCAGATGAAGAATTGGACTTAGAATTACTGTTAGCCCCTGAAACACTCGAATTCATCGAAGGAAAAGCCGATTCGTTCTTCCCCCCATCGGATTGAGAGGATTTTGAAGACGGTTTTCTCGGAAGCTTGTTAAGTATTTGCTTAATCATATCCGGAATCCCCAAATTCGCAAATCCTAAACCCTTCTTATTCGAATCAATCAACGTTTCAACATCGAGATATCCCAAACCACATACATTTCTAGCATCGCAGAGATAATCAAAGATAAGCCATGGAGGGTTGAAATTGAAAAACCCTAATCAGAAAGAGCTCGTACCTTGGACCCACACAATTTCGCTGACTCTAAACTCTGGAAGAGTCAAAATGAGATGTAATTCTCCGAGTTCATCATCTCCAATCCCATCATTTTGAGCTTCGAATAACCGAATGAAAGCGAAAGGTGATTGGTATTTGGTCAAAGATAGAAGCTGATTGAATTAGCGACAACTAATTTGATGATGACGATGAAGATGATGCATTTGGAGAGAGAATTAAGATTAAAAAAGAAACCCTAGAACAATAAGAGAAAAGGGTTTCTTTGGGTAGTGAGGACTTGGGAAAAACCTAAATTTATTCTTCTTGGATTCAATTTTATTCTAGAGAGAGAAACTGTGCTCGGTGACTGACAGAGCACAGAAGGGGAGAATCTAACGGCGGTTTAACAGGACAAATGACAGTCGCCCATTGAAATATTTACACTTCAACCACCTACACTTTTATTTTTCACGAAATCGTCCCAAAATGTTTTAATTTGTTTCATATGCTTTATGTTTACTATAATTTTAACGATGACGTCCATTTTCTTTTTGTCTTTTTCGCATAAGCATACTAATCATGAAAAGGGTTGACGAAGAGATGAAGGACCAAAAGCAATGAAGTGGTTTCTATCTTTTTATAAAGATGATTAACTTAATAAGAATATTTGGAACATAAATGGATATCCATTCTCATTGATTTAAAAAGGGTATTTAAATAGGAATCATATGGTAATACTAAGACTTAATATATTTGCTAATGTTTATTTAATACACCCCCCCCCCTGCAGTTAGGCACAAGGTGAACGAAAGGTTGGATTGTTTCAGAAATTTTCAAATTGTAATGTTCTTGATTTTGGGGAGAGAGAGAGACTTGTTCTTGAATGACTTTTGCAATTGTAACGTTGATGTTGTATTGACTTGACCTCCAAAATGCACTTAGAATTTTCTTGATGATATAAGGTAGGTAAAGATGTGATAAAACCACACAAAGTATGTTGTAACACCCGTTTTTCAGAGTGGTTCGGTTTAGGGCATTAAGGAGTCAAAAGCTTGGTTTTAAGGGGAAACCGAGTGTCACGATGTGACCATAGGGTGGTCACGACGTGACAATCCAAGTGAGGAACGTGTATCTGAAATATGGTCACGACGTAACACATCTGTGGTCACAACGTAAAGAAGGTTACAGCCCAAGCCCATGATCTTGTAGGGTTTCCTTCGTATTCATAAAGGTAAGATAATCTTTCCCCTCAATTTGGTTTCATGGTCTTGATGAAAAATGATGGATTTTAATGGTCGTCAATGTTTATTCATCAAACTTTGAGTTAGAGTGTATAGAACACCATGCCTAATGTTTAAACTTCATCTGAATTGTAACATCCATATTTTCAGGAATTACTTTTTGATATTCTTTTGTGCCTAAGTTTGGATTTGGGAAGTGTTGCCCTATGCTAAGTGTAGGATATTTCCCTACATTAAGCGTAGGTGAAGGATTGTTAATCATGAATTTAATGAACTATGTTGAGCGTAGGTTAGGCAATGCCGAGTGTAGCCGCGTTGGACCATAAACCTAAACCTAGGGTTATGAGCCTTATTTAAAGGCTCCAACTTCTTGGGATCCTCCCCATGTTTAGCATCCACTCTCCTAAATTGCCTCTTTAAAACCTTAGCCACCTTTTGGGAGTTTTGATCCCTTAAAGTGAATTTTGTGCTCATTTGAAGGAAGAAGGTGCTTTGTGGAACCACTTAGAAGCCCCAATTGTTTAGATGTGGAATTTGCAAGACAATGGCCATCTCTGGAACGTCATCAAGTTCCTATCTTGATGCTTGTTCATGTTAAATCTAGTTTAGTCAAGAGATTCTATGAATTTTGTCCCCCATAATCTTGTTCCTTGTGAGTATGGGTTACTCCAGACTATTTGAGTGTCATGTACTTATGATTTTAGGGTTGTGGAGTCATAAAAATGAGAGCTTGGACACTCTCATCCTTCCATGCATGAATTCTTGAGCATAAGTTAACTTTATAGACTTAGGGTTTGGTTTTGTGCTCTTTCTATCCATCCGAATGCATAAATTCATAGACTTTATCCATTAAGACGTCCATTTGGATCAGATCTGAAAGTTTGAGGGGCTAACTTTTTGTATTAAGAGCTTAATATAACTTTTGGGCATCAGGGGGTAATGTTGAGCATAGATTTCTCTATGTCGAGTATAGTGTGATATTTTCCTGTTTTCTAGCCTAGAGCTCTACGTCGAGCGTAAAGCAATATGCTACATTGAGCGTAGGTCAACTAAGGGTTAACCATTGACTTTTTGACTAGTTTGACGTTTGGTCCATTGTATTGGGACTTACTCGTGGAAGGGAAAAATGGTATTTTTCTCAAAGGAGGATTAATTGTGAACCAATATTCTTTGTGAGATAAGCTATTACCTTAATTATTAATTAGGGTTTTATTATACGTATGATTAGCGCGAGGAGCCTTGATACTACTAGCTTTCCGATTTCACGGGCTGAGGTGTAGTCTTCTGTGATTCAGGTGAGTCTTTGCATTATTTCACAAATGACATTATATATCCTTGGTATGTTAGGATACTGGTACTGATAGAGTACATGTATGCTAGTTGACTAGGATAACTACTATTTATGTATGTGTAGTATAAGAAACTTGGTGTCATGGAATGCTAGACTGATGGGGTCCTGCATGTTGATTATATGATACTATTAGATGTCATGTTTGGCTAGGGTAATGATAGTATTTTTTGATCGTTGAGTAGATACCCTAGGGGTTGTATGTAGTTTAATTCAAATAGCCTAAGAACTCTTGGTCTAGGCTGTCTTGCATGCTCATTATTTGGTTGTGGCTTTATAGTGGGTGTAACGCTCTGTTCCGAATTGACTCCTAGTCTGAGGCTATGGCTCGAAGGTCGGTCATTATAAGGATTATGGATTTTAAGAAGGTAAGATCTAGGCCCATTTGGGTGCGGGTAATGTATTAGAAGTGATACGGGTCTTCGATCGTGTTTTGGAGCCTAGGGGTATTTCGGTAAAGTGGTAGTTCGGGCTTTTGTGGAAAATGGATTTTCGTTCAGAAGGTCTTAAGAAAGGTTTAAGTTGTTAGAAGTGTAGGGTTTCTCGTCACCTTTCCGTGGATATAATGATCGTAGAAATCGGGCTTATAACGAAGAAGTTATGGCCTTCGGAAGTTTCGTGATTTTCTGGCTTAGCCGAGTACACGGGGCGTACACAAAGAGTACGCGGGGTGTACTAGTGAAGAAGGTTGTACGATGGGCGTACCATGGAGTACGTTGGGCGTACTGACCATGATGGTCGCGAATGTTCCCCGGAGTACGTTGGGCGTACTCCAGTCATATCAGAACCCTATTTTAGGGTCTTGGACCCTATTTAAGCTCCTTATCTCATAACCTAACCCTAATATCTTCAGCCTCCACCCCTCTAAACCCTAAAAATCTTCATATAACATCCATGGTGGCATTTTGAGCTTATGGGGTCCATTTTTGGGGTGTTTAATCCATTTTCAAGAAGATGGAGTTTAATGAAAAGATGGGAATCAAGAAGGAGCTTATGGATCTGGCTTTTAGGACTCATTCTTAGCTTGATGAAGTTATAGAGCTTTGAACTTGATCATTCATCTCTTAGATATACCATTTTTGGGTTTTGGTTTCTTTTTGGTCCCAAGGATGAAGCTTTATGGTTCAAATTCAATTCTTAGACTTGGGGTTGCCACTGTTGATGCTATTTGAGTCCCTAAGGCAGAAAGTTGCCATCTTGGAGGTCTTACTGGGTTCATGCAAGATTTATGGTCATTTTCATGGAAGTAGATTGTTATACTTTTATTTTAGGTTCATGTGGGTCATATAAGTCTCCAAGTCAGTGACTTTATGGATTAGGACGTTAAGTAGAGCTCAGATTTGTAATTTGGTCCCTTGGTTTGAAGCATTAAGCACTTAATGGATTTTATGCATCAACCATTTGTACGTTGGGCATACAATGTAGTACGCTGCACATACAACCCTTTTGCCCAGTATGCTAAGCGCCTAAGCGTACAGAAGAGGTACGTTGGGCGTATGCTCTCAGGAGGACTTGGGCCTTTGTGGACTTTGGACCTTTAGGCCCTAATGGTTTTGGGTCTGTATTTGATGATAGTTGGGCCTGAATGTATCTTTGGTCCAATAATGTAATAATTGGGCCTATTGGGCCTTGTGGCCCAATATAGAAATGGACTTCGCATTATGGGCCTCGATTTGGGCCAATTCTTGGACTAGGTTGTTGTGGGCCTTTGTGGGACAATTGGAAACAAGATTATAGACTAGAAAAATTATTGGGCTTTAGGATAAGGCCCATTGGACAGTTTTGGGCCTAATTTATAAAGTTGGGCTATTGATGAATTTATGGGCTTTATAGTATTGGCCTTTTGTTTTGGGTGTGGGCCTTAGTTTTGGATCATATTGGGCATGGGGTAGTATGGTTATTTTACGCCCATGCATGGATAAAGGATTATGGTATGGGACCCAATTACTAATTAGGTATATTGATCAGTGTTTCCAGCTCGGGAAGTGGATAAGGCAGCAGCTAAGGATTTCGTTCATGAAGCTTCTGCATTCGAGGTGAGTCTCCTCACCATACCAATGGGTTGAAGGCACCAATTCCGGCCCATTTTATGATATGTAATACACTAGCTGAAGTTATATTATGCAACATGTTAGTTGATTATGTGATAGGGAGTATGCTAGTGATTATGTGGTATGCTAGTTAACTATGTGGTATGTGTTATGCTAGTTGTCTCTGTGATATTTGCATGGAAGACCATGTGAGAGCCCATGGGCACCTAGATGTAAGACCATGTGGAGAACCCATGACATTATTATTAAAGACCATATCATCTTTCAGGGCCAGAGTGGCCAGGTAGATATAGCGGTTCAGGTAGCCGAAGTTTTCTTCAGAAGTCGTTGAGAGCGATTAGGAGATTGTTCTTGCGTTCAGTAGCCAGTGAGAGTCTGGTATCTTGGATTTTGGTAGATTAGTTGGGACCAGGGTGGTCTCGAAGGAGAATTAAATCCAGTAGGATTTCATTCAGGGGTGGTAATAAGAGAAGTCGTGTGTAGAACAGCTAGGTGATCAGAAGGTGGTTGGCACTGGGAGTGGCTGAGTTTGCAGTTCAGCTGAAGGTTTATTCTTATCAGTAATATGAAAGGGTTGTGGTTGCTACCCTGGGAAGGTCAGTGACTGCGTAGGGCAAGGCGTGAGCCCCCTTATATATCGAGCGTTGATGCTCGGAAAGTACCAGAAGGATTACCGAATGGTAAGAATGTTGTACTCGAAAGTTGTACCGGAAGGATTACCAGGCACCATATCGTCTCGTGCCACCCGAGATACATGAGTTATCCTCGCAAATCCATGAGATATTTGGGAAGGGTTTCATTCAGTCGAGTAGTTTGCTGTAGGGGGCGCCAATCCTTTTTGTCGAGAAGAAGGATGGTTCACACCGGATGTGCATCGATTACCGGGAGATGAACAAGTTGACGGTTAAGAACCGCTATCCGTTACAAAGGATCGATGACTTATTTGATCAGTTGTAGGGAGCTTATTGGTTTTCCAAGATTAACTTGAGATCTGGGTATCATCATATAAGGGTCTGCGAGGAGGATATCCAAAAGACAATCTTTCGGACTCGTTACGGGCATTATGAGTTCGTGGTTATGCCTTTCGGGTTCACCAATGCACCAGCAGCGTTCATAGAACTCATGAATCGGGTGTGTAGGACCATGTTGGATCAGTCAGTGATCGTGTTCATTGACAATATTTTGGTGTACTCGAGGTCTAGGGAACAACATGAGGAGCATCTTAGGGAGATTCTTGGAGTGTTGAGGAGGCATAGGCTTTATGCCAAATTCTCTAAGTGTGATTTCTGGTTACATGAGGTCCAATTCTTGGGACACCTCGTTAATCATAACGGGATTCTATTCCATCCAGCCAAGATTGAGGAAGTTATGCAGTGGGAGGTTCCAAGATCCACATCCGATATCAAAAGTTTTCTTAGCCTGGAAGGTTATTATCGGAGTTTATCAAGGATTTCTCCAAGATTGTTGTCCCTCTTACCAAATTGACCAGGAAGCGAGTTGTATTTTCTTGGGGGCCTGAGCAATAAGCATCATTTGAGACTCTTCGTCAGAGGTTGTGTGAGGATCCAATACTATCCCCTTCCGAAGGGATTAGAGGACTTCGTGGTTTACTGCGATGCATCTACAACGAAATTAGGTGTTATGTTGATGTAGAGGGGGCACGTGATAGCATACGCATCGAGGCAGCTGAAGCCTCACGATATGAGATATCCCACCCTTGATCTGGAGCTGGGGGTGGTGGTATTTGCTCTCAAGATATGGTGCCACTATCTTTATGGTGTCCAATGTACCATATACACGAACCATAAGAGCATGAGGTATCTTATGGATCAACCGAAACCTGAATATGAGGCAAAGGAGGTG